AGTTCTAAATTGATTAAATGCTTCTTGACTTTCAAATTCTAAGAAAGTATCAAATGCTCCTCCTTTAGTTACTTGGTTATTAGGATCAGGGTCTCCTTGGGCAATTTGTTTATCTTCTCCGGGTGTTTCTGTTTCTTGCTTTTCTTCCTCGGCAACATAGATATCTCAAGCATTTCCGGCTGATTGTAAATAGTTATTTCCTTTTTCATAATCAAAATTAGGATTGTCCATTTTTGTTCCATCAGTCAAGTAGTAACCATTTAACATTCTTTGAGTAAAAAACCTATTAAGATCACTTTCTAAATTTATTTCACTTCATTTTCAGTATCCTAGTTTTTGAGCAAAGGTCCCATAACTTTCTCATTTTACTGGTAAATTAAGGATTTTTTGCTTGTTATTGGCTCATTTTAAACGATTATAGAGTAATTCACTAGCATGGGTCCGATAAAAAAACACTGGTTTGGTCAATCTATTAAAAAATTCTCCTAAACTATAATTAAAATCAATGGTATTAGAATTAAACAACATTGGCTCAATGGTTTTTCCTAACGGGTCTTTTAAAGTAGATTTAAACATTCTTTCGGTTTGAGCCTCTTGCTCGGTAGTCATGTCATGTTTACCGGGAGCAAAAGGATTAAAACCATCATCATTTCAAGCTATACCACCTCCAACTCCAAGGATACTAACACTCAAACTTCTTAAAGCCCGAGCTGGGGAAAAACTAGGCTCTAGTTTACCCGTGGTTTTAACTTCTAATTTCAAATTAATATACTTAAATTCTCATCGATAATATAAGTTGCCCGGAGCACAATTAATAAATAATTTATAAGGTAAAACAAAATTCTTTACTTTTTCCGGTTCTTTGTCCCAATTTTTTAGTTCATTTCCTTGCTCGTCCTTGGCTATAATGCCTAAAAATTCCCAGTTGCCCGTAGTAATTATTTTATGAAAAAGGTAAAATTGAAAAGTAATTGAAGTCCTTAAATGAGGCTGTTTTTTAATTCACTCGGTCATTTGGGGATCGTTGGTAAATAAAACTTCTTCTTTACTTTCGCTATGAGTATAATAACCTTTTCTTTCGTTACCTAATAATTGCTCTTGAGAACCAATTGTTAAATAAGTTTTTCCTCCCAATAGTTTCTTAAAAAAGTTTTTGAAAGGGCTAGGGATAATGTCTCCTTCTTCACTTTCTTTATTTACCTTATACTTGCCTAAATCTCCTTCGGCTTGTTCTGCTTCCGTATAAGCTTTTTCGGCCCTTTTTCAGTCAAAAGGAGTTAAGGTAACATCAGTAGGAATTCTAATGCTGTCGTCTTCTTGATTTACGGCATAAGTAAACTTACTTTCTCCATGGCTAACGGCTTCAAATAAAATAAATTTCGGCTGATAATCAAAAGCCTGTTCGTAAGTAGTTTTAATACTTAAATCACTACAAAACTCATAGTGCAGTTTAGTATTTTCAATTTGAATAGGACTTTTTGCCATGGTGCCCATCCCGGCTCCCCTCATCCAATTCCAATAATACATCCCCAACAAACACTTCTTAGCTCTAATCACACAAGTCAACTTCCAATTA